AGATGCGGCCCCTGGGGTGTGCGCAGCGCCAGAGCAGCACCCAAGAACAAAGAGGAGCAAACAGCCTGGAAGGGCTCAGGGCTCAGTGTGGCCGAGCAGGGTTAAGGACAAGCCAGCTGAGCCGAACGGGGAGGTTAGCTTAGGGTTAGGCAGCGTGTTTGTAGCAAAGGGGCCAGCAGACCCACCAGCCACCCCGCAGTCCCTCGTCACAGCCACGGGCTGCATCTTATCCCTGGGTATGGGGTTTCCAGGCTGGTGGAGCAGAGGGCTGATGGCCACACTGGGGCTGCAGGGGCCCTGTTGCCACTCAGGATACCCATGCACCCTGAGGAGCCCAAACTCTGATTTCAGATCCCTCTTTGTCTCCACACTCACTGCTCTCCAGCTGGTTTTTTTTCAGTTCTTATTTGGTGGCTGATTTGATCTTGTGGATGGCATACGGGCTCGACTCCTTGGGCATCCAGATCTCTTCCCCACCACGGCCCTGGTGCTCCACTGCTCCCTCCATGGCTGCTGTCAGCTCAGGGCTGAAGATGCTGTCGGTGGCCCGGTAAGTGTGGGTGAGGCGGCGGAAGGAGGAATCAGAGGAGCTGTCGTCAGGAAGGTCTTCGTCCTGCTCATCCCGCAGCTTGGCCCTGCTCAGCTCCGAGCTGCTCCCCAGCTCTGGGTCTTTGAGAGCCTCCCCCACCTCCTGGAGGAAGGTGGTTTTGGGGCTGACGATGCACAGCAGGATCATCAGGCCTCCCGAGACCCCGCAAAGGAAGTAGAGGCCGGCTTTCTCCGGGACACCTGGGGGCAAAGAGCAAAGACAGACAGTGGGTACAAGTGGTCTCTGCAGCCCACCGGGTACCAGCACCCAGAAAACCCCCCTGCCAGGCATGGGAGGAAGAGGAGGGGAGCAGGGGTGCCTCAGCACCCAAGCTGCAAGGGCAGGACAGACTCTGTCCCAGTGAGGTGAGATCATCACCCAGAGTCTCATCCAACAGTGCTCCAAAATGCCCCATTCCCCATTGGAAACCCACAATGGAAGGTGGGGTAGACAGCATGGTGGAGGAATCATCCCACCAGGGATTCAAATGAATAATTTCCCCTGGCAAGGGAAGTTTTTGCCCACAGAGAGGTGCTCTCTGTCGATGCCCCTGCAGGCAGGGCAGGAAGGAAGGAGAACCAGCAGGTAATTCAGTCAGAGAAGGAAGGTCCATGGGCAGGACTACAGCAGCACCAGGACCTGGGGGCTTGTTCAACCTCTGAATTCTCTCAAGCCCAGCATGAGTGCTTGGTGCCCTCCTCCCTCATGTGTCTGCTGACCCTGCCTGAGGGGTCTGGGGTCTGGCTGCCTCTGAGCCAAGCCCTGGCTGAGTGGAGGTAATCATGGGATCTGAGCCACCATCCCAAGCCCATCCTGCTCCCCTGAGTACTGCATGAGAGCCAGGGAGGGCACATACCCCAGAGGTAGGCAAAAGTTGACAGAGAGTTAGTAAAAATCATCCGGTCTTCCCGGAGCCTGGAGAATCTGGGCCCTTTGTACCAGCCACCTGCAGCAAACAAGGGGACGTGGGCTGAGATGTGAGGGGGTCCCCAGCACCCTGCTGCCTGTCCCTGCCTGCCTCCTTCCCCACGCCACACCTTTCTTCCTGCACAAGTGCTGCTCTGCCGGGGGGATGCTCCCCTGTGGGTTGTCCTCTCCCCTGCTTCCAGCAGACCACATTTCTCCAGCCCCACAGGCACTGACTGATAGTTTCAACCAGGAACAGCAATGCTGGGATGGGGCTGCAGGGCTCAGGGTACCAGGGCACAGACAGGCCAGGGAAGGGGTGATTCACCCAGGCATGGACATGATGCTACACCATTTCTGGTGTAGCCTCCCCCCCCCCCCTTTACCGTGCATGTAGTCTGAGAGCAGGAAGGGGTCTGAGGTGTCAGGGCCCACCTCCTCCAGCAGCTGCTTGGGCACTGCAAGGAGAGCACATGCCAAGCATCACCAGCCTGCCCCCAGGAGCCCTGTGCCCTGGCCTGCATGGCACAGGGTGGGCACAGCAGGGGCTCATCCAGTAGCCCCCAGGTGGCTCTCACCACAGGTGTAGGAGACTCGCAGCTGTTTCTTCATGCCAGGGAGGCACGGGTCCCCAAAGGTGGCCTGGTCAGCAGCCACAGTGCAGTTCCCTTTGCGGTGGCACTTCTTGGACACCCTCCGCAGGGCGTCTGGAGCCAAGCACTCTGCAGAGACATGAGGCATGGACCCATGGGCAGACCTGCCACTGCCGCTGGGCACCAGCCAGCTAGGACAAGGTACAACCCAATGGCAGGCTTGTGCCATGCTCTCTGCACTGCTCCTGGCCCCAGTTCTGCCTTGAACTGTTCCTGCGTACCTATATGGGGCCTGCCAGCATTCAAGGCATCACATTCTGGTTTCCCCCGCAGGAATCGTCCGTAATTTGCAGAATAAATGGCCAGGATGGATTTTGGTCTGCACTGCAGTCTCAGCTTGTCATTCTCACACACAGTCTTGATCCGATGGTTCCCTGGGGAGAGGCACAGCAGAGCATTCAAACACATCCTGAATCACCTGCAGCCCCCTCCTCCCTTAGCCCAGCCAAGGGTCTGAGAGCTGCCAAGGGCCAGCTGGAGGAGGGCTGCGAGATACGGGAGCAGCTCAGCTGCCCTCTCTCCCCCATTCTGAGCAGCTGGGGCTGGGCAGAGCCCCCTTGATGCTGCCAGACCCCCCCCCCCCTCACCTGGCCTGCACTTGTAGGAAGCAATGAGGTACTTGTGCGTCCCAGGGCATGGATCTGGCCCAAAGACCTGACTGTGCACGGAGAACTGGCACCACTGCTGGTCTTGGCACTCAGCCTGCAGCTTCTACAGAGCAGAGCGGGACAGATGTGAGATGGGTGAGGAGGCCTGAGGCTCTTTTCCCCTCGTCTCCCTCGGGGCCATCACCAGGCTCAGGGAAACGTCCTCTTGCCCCGCAGAGGTGTCCTATGGCTGCTCACAACGCCCCCGCCTGCAGTCACCTGCTTCATGTGTCGCCCCTGCAGCAGCTCCTCCCCCGCACCCACACCGAGCAGTGTTTGCACCGACACGGCCCCGTCACACCCGGGCGGTGTTTGCACCGACACGGTCCC